CCCTTCAGGACCAGTGCTGAGAGTGCTGAGTGGGTGGAGGGAGAGGGGGGCAGAAAAGGGGAACCAATTACAAGGATCTACATATAACCTCCTCCCTGCGGAACGGACAACAGAAAAAATGGGTGAAGGGGACATTGGACAGTGTAAGATATGACAAAATAATAATTTATAAATGATCAAGTATTCATGAGGAAGGGGGAGCAGGGAGGGAGGGGGAAAACTGAGCTGGTACCAAGAGCTCAAGCAGAAAGCAGATGTTTTGAGAATGATGATGGCAACAAACGTAGAAATGTGCTTGACACAATGGATGGATGGATGGATTGTAGTAAGAGTTGTACGAGCCCCCCCAAAAATGATTTTTAAAAAATGCCTGGCTCACTGAGTTCCTGAGTTAGAACGTGTTTATCGATTAAACGTAAAAGGAATTGTACTGCAAGGGGTGGGGGTGGGGGGCTGTTGCAGTTTGGAGTGTTCCTGTTGAATGTCTTTCAGAGCGTCTCCGTGGTTGCTGGATGAGATGTATCCCCAGGTATCTTATTTTCTCACCTGCTACAAGGACGGGAGAAAGACTCCTTCTTGCCCATTTGCAGAACAGCCCCACCCGGCCCTGCAGGGTCACTGTGTCTCACAGACTCAGTGGCAGTGTTTGGAAGGGCCTGGCGTCCCACCTTTCCCTTTCAGACGCGCATGGCTGGTGTGTCCCAACCCAGCTGGGTGAGTCCCACCCTGCTCTCCAGGGTCACCGGGTCAGTGTTGACTTGGCGGCAGTGAGGTCGGGGGCGTGATGGATAATGTTCTCTAATGTAAAATGACAGTAATGCCTCTAAGGTGAACCAGGACAGCTGTAAGCCACAGATGCACGAACAGATTGTGGCCTTCCACGCAATTCTAGGCTCAGTGTAAGAACAATTAGTTCATAGGACAGTGTCCTGCTTGACGCTGCCCCTCAGGAAGAGATCACTGACGATAAGGATGCTATAGCAAAGTATAGTGAAGACATGGTGCCGGGCTATCAGAAAGAAGAGTGATTGGGGTCTTAGAGGCTTGTTTTCCAACAAGGAGCCATCTAAGTGAGGTGTCAACTAAGTCCACATGGAAGAAGTGCACCAGCCTCTGTGATCCAAGGATTGTAAATAATAAAAATCCAAATCCAAAGGAGGGAATGGTATCAGAGATTATATTGTGAACCCTTGGTTTGCAGAAGGCTACAGATGACAGTGGGATTCATTTGCAGGGTCCCCACACGAATTAAGCCCCTGGTGAATCCCCTCTGATCATAGTTGAAGGACATAAATTGCTCTGTCAGACAGATTGTAAAGCCAATTATAGCTGACATAGGTCAAAATGTAATATCTTATCATTTGATCTCCCCTTTGACCCATTTTAACGTTGTTTCACTTTATATATTTAAAAACAAAGTGACAGGGACATACAGGTGAATTAAGCCCCTGGGGAAGCCTCTGAGCAGTGACCAGACTGTGAGCGGGCCTTGCTCACTGCAGAATGCACCGGACGGACGTGGACTGCTGATGGCGCAGTTAGGTTACAATGTAGCACTCTATCAATCGATCCTCTTATGATCCATTTAAATCTGTTCTAATTTTTAAAAATATTTTCTGCTTTCTTTTCTATTGTGGTTTCTATCTGTTTTACTTTTGGTTAGTTTTTAGATACGTTTTTCTGTTGCATGAAATCCAGGATACGTGCACACACAGTCACTGGATTAACGGTGTGGCAGGGGGTCGGAAGGAAATGGGGAGCTGATAACGAGGAGAACTATGAAGAAAATGTTCTAAACTGACAACTCTTCTTGATGTGGTCAAACTATTGAATTGTGTGATATGTGAATCGTACACCAACAACACTGTTTGAAAAAGAACCATCTGTCTTTTGTTGACCTTGAACTCTGCAACTTAGCGCATCCCTCCATTCGCTCTGGGTGTCTTCTTGGGGTTTTCCTGCATATTTGATTTTTGGGGGAAAGTGTCCCAACCCGGGTGCCCTTATTTCCTGTTCTTGTCCTATTGCCCGCCTGGCCCAGCACTTCTAATGGAATATTGGACGGGTGAGGGCGGGCACTCTGGAAGTCTGGCGAACACATGGTTTGTTCTGGTTTTTACAAAGTTTCATTTCTTTATTTCGTCTTTTGCTATGAGTTTGTTACCATGGTCCATGATGGCTCATCGCTATTCTGTTAGACCACAGCTGTTTGCTAAAAGTTAGGCCCCACGGCCTGTTCCGACCAACGGGAGTGTTTTCCTGTGCTCCAGTGAACAACTGCGCGGGCACTGCCCGCCCGTATGCATGGTGACGGCTCATTTAGTTCCACCACCTGGCTGTGGATCCTGGCTTCCCTCCTTCAGGTGGATTTCTTGTCCCTCCCCCGGGCGTGGACACATCGTGCGCCCACTCCAGGTTCCGCTGCATACTAGAGGAAGTCCGGAGCAGCTGGCAGAAGCATCCCCGGGCTGCAAAGTCATGTGTCGCTTCCGGGGATCTAGTGACAGAAGCCCTTGCAGCTGGCGACCCGTGCACCCGCCCCCCAGGATATGGGGCAATATCCGGGGACATTTTTGCTCGTCATGTGTAGAGACCAGGATGCTACGCAACACCCTACAAGCCCCAGGGCCACTCCTAGCACGCAGCCTCGCGGAGCCCAGGCTGAGGAAGCTGGCCCGGTCGCGCACCCCTGCCCGGGAGTGCAGCCAGCCCCGGGGAGTCCCGGTGAAGAAACTCGGAGGTCCTGAGCGGCACGTGGAATTCAGAGGCAGAAAGGGGAAGTCTTGGGGGAGGGAGGGAGAGAATGCATAGTCAGTAAACGGGGCGTGAGGTTTGGGGGTGGAAGCTGTTATGGAAATGACGACGTGCCCCTGCTGGAATCACGCTCGTGAGCCAGGATCGTGGATTTGTGCCCTGGGCATCTACACACAGAGACCAGACACACACACTCCCGCGGCTATGGCCAACTGAGGCCTAAGGAAGAGGCAGAGGCAGCGACTGGGCACCTTCCACATGCGGGCGGGGTCTCCGGAGGTCTGTGCTCGCCTCCAGGGCCCTGGACCAAGCAAGGGTCCAGGCTGGTTCCCCGCCAGGCTGGGCCTCGCGCTGCGCCGGGGTGCAGGCCTGCTTTAGTCGGTGGGGAGGAGGAGCTAGCCCACTCCAGGAAGGACCCGTTGGGGGGGGTGGGGGCTGGGGTAGAGGGGAAACGGGATTAGGTTTCTGTTCCGGAAATGCCACCTGCTGATGAGGGCCCCAGAGGTGGGCGCAAGGCCGGGGCTGGGGTTTCCCTAATCACTACGCCTGCGTGATAAGCCCTTTAGGTATCCGAGTCCTTGGGTCACTGGGTCCGCGTGAGGTCTAGAGGCCAGGCCCTAGGACACCTGCCCTCTTCCAGGCCATGAGCCTGGCCACGCAGTCCAGGTCGGGGGTGGGAAACCCACTCCTCTCAGGGGAACCCGGTAGAATTCCAGCTTGACCTAGAACCCCCACTCCAGGGCTGATCAGGGGCCCAGCAGAGAGCACAAGGGCAGAGGCTTGTGTTGGTCACACACTTGCACCTGCCTGGACCCTTGCTGTGACCTGAGCTGAGGGTCCCTCAGCCCCTCCTGTGGACCAGGTGTGCGGCAGACCATCCATCCTCCAGCCCACCAGGGCTAGGGCTGCTGGCGCAGGGCGGGCGATTGAGCGGGGCCCCTGCCCCCAGCCTCTTCCAGTACCTCCAGCTGCCTTTTCTGTCACACAGGAAGTGTCTTCTCCCCACCCAAACCTGGGCTGGGGCTGAGTCAGATCTTGCAGAGCCAGAGCCTGAATGTGGGTAGCAAACCCAGCCGGGGGTCCGCCCACAGCATGCCTCCGGGCAGTCCAGGTGGACACCCCTCCGGGCAGGGGCCACTCGTGACACGAACACCCAGGGCACCAGCTGGTCCCACGCTGCTCCTGGAGCTTGGTTTGGAACCTGGCACCCCATGCCCCTGCTCCTAGTTAGTTCCAGGTCAGAGCCTGTGGGGAGGGGCTGAGCCCTGCTCTCTGCCCTAATCCAGAACCTGTGGGGCGTGTTCCTCTTCAGCTGACTCTTCAACCTCAGCCAGAGTCCAACTGACCTGGGCCTGGGCCTCCTCACCCAGAACCTGGCGAAGGCTCCTCTGCTTCCCCCTAACCCCTCGCTCGGTTTGAGGGAAGGAAGTGGTCCTGAGGACCCTGGACGAAGCCCCACCAGCCAACACGTGGAAGGAAGGGGCCCTGTTTGGCACTCACAGGGTGCCGCCTGCTGGCCGATGACAGAAGTGCAGCCTGGTGGGACCAGTACTTTTACTAGAGACCAGAGCTAGGACCCCAGGCTCAGGGGGAAGGGGCAGCTGTAAACTTAGGGGTGGAGCTGCCACAGCCCTTTCCTGCCCAGGGGCTGCCTGTGACGGGTAACAGACGTGGCAGTAGCAGCTTCAGGCTTGATGGCAGCCCTCGCCCCCCTTCAAGGGCCCACTCCTGAGGCCAAGACCCCTGGTGCTAGGCTGGGGGTAGGCCATTCCAGGGTGGGTGGGAAAGGAGGGGGCATCCCGTTCCAGGCCTCTGTCCAAGTTGAAGGGTCTTTGGCCTGGGCTTGGGGCAGGCCAGGGCACAGCCAGTCTGCTGGCAGAGGCTAGCTGAAGGTGGCATCCAGGGGGCCCGTCTCCTGCTGGCTGCGGGCCTCAAACAGCTGCTTGATGAGGGCCCATTTCTCCTGCTCCAGCTGGGTGATGCGCTCACTCTTAGACGTGACCTCCTGCGGGGGAGGACAGCGATCAGGGCTGGCCCCCTCTGGACACTCACGTGGGTGGGGGACAGCGGTCAGGGGACAGCCCCCCTCACTCACCTCAGTGAGGCGGCGGTTCTGCTCCTTCAGCATAAGGATGGTCTGTTCGGGCCAGGGGGTGGCCAGAGTGCTGGGCCCCGGGGCCCCCGAGGATGAGGGCAGAGCCTGTTGGAGGGTGGGATCAGTCAGAAACTCCAGGAAAGGATGATGGGGGGAATCTCTGTGCTCGGCATGGGAGGGGCACTCACCCTATCGGGGTGCTCTGTGGGGACCCCTCCGCCTGCACAGGCCGCAGCCAGCAATTCCCCCAGGCACCTGGCCACCTCCTGCACTTTGGGCAGCAGCTGTCCCAGTGAGAGGGGGCTCCTCTCAGCCCCGGAGTCCTGGAGGGAAGTAAGTTGATGGTCAGAGGACGGCCAGCTGAGGGTCCCGTGGCAGTTCTGACATCAGTGCCGTGATTCAGAGCCTAGGGGACTCAGGGCTCCTGGTGCACGGCCGGGTGGGAGGTTCAACTACTGTGCCTTGGGCTGGGGGACAGTGCTAAGTCCAGGGGTGCCTGGGCTAGGGGGCGGTCCTAACTAGCAGTGGTGGGGCACCCTACTCCTGGGTCCCCTGGGCTGGGTGGCAGTCCTATGCCCTGGGGCACTTGGGCTGGTGTGTGTGTGTGTGTTGGGGCGGGGATGGGGGTCTGACTCTGGAGCCTTAGGCTGGGGGCAGTCCACACTGCAGCCCCCACCCCTCTCTGAGGGGCGGTGCTAACTCCAGGGGCTCCCTGTGAGTGAGGGCTAGGGTCACTCACGGTGGCTGCAGCAGGGTTGGCAGCCCTGCCCCGGCCCAGGCGGCGCTGGCGCTCTTGCACGCGCTGCAGCTGCTGCTGGTACCAGTCGCGGCCACGCGCCATCATCTCCAGGCCCTGAAGCAGCACCTCCTTCTCCTGCTCCAGCTCCTGGAGCTGCTTCAGCTGCAACACGCGTGCGCACACACCTGTCATGCACGCGTGCAAATAAGCACACACGTGTGCATGCCTGCCTGTGTGGGACCCACACTGGGAATGACGCTGTGGGACACCTAGGCACGCCTGCACAGCCACACGCATCCACAAACACACCTGTGCTGGAAAGGCCCTGGCCTCTGAAGCCCTCTGCTCAGGATGGGGGAGCGACTGGCCTCTGAGCTCAGGGGCCTGCCTGTCCCAGGCGGCACACTAGGGGGTGAGCTGGCCTAACCTGGTGGAAAGCAGGGCAGGCAGTCCTGGGGAGGGGGCCCACTTTTGCAGCCATACTACTATCTGACTGCCCCTCCCCCCAGTGGTCTCCTGCTGGGGAGAGGCCTATACTGGACCACTGCGGTGGCCACAGGCCCCCACTCACCACATCACAGTCCACGCCGTTGGTGATCGTGTGCCTCCGATGTCCCCCTTGGGCACGTGGGGGCCGCCGGCCGTTCCCCGAGTCCGCCTCCGCAGCCCTGCAGGGCACTCTGCCTACAGGGGGGGCTGCCCGTTCACTCACAGCCTTTGGGGCTTCCCGCTACGCTCTGAGCCAGGACCACCCCTGGCACCTGTCAGTGCAGCCACCCTCCAGATCTGGGCCAGCTGTTTGCCCCCGCCAACCTCATCTCCAGCACCAGTCTAGCCTGGCCCACATGCCACTACAGATGTGCACCAGCTGTGCTCACACCCCCTACAACCAGCTCAGAGGGCAGGGGCTTGGTCTGGTTGGTGCCTGCACCCCTAGTCCCCTCTGCATCTCCCCTCACACACATGGCCCACTAAGGACCAGGGTGGTTGCAAGCAATGGAGCTAACTTTGTGGTGGGAGGGGGGTAACTGCAGTAGAGCCAACCCTGAGCCTACAGGGTCCCCCACGCACATGTTTGCCAGGTGTAAGGGCCATGGTGGGTGCTCTGGCTGCCTTGCTGGATTGAGGCTGTGTGCAGCTCCCACCCCCCACCCTACCAGCAAGGCATCTCTCCCTCAGCTCTCCAGCCCTGACCCAGCACAAGGGTCACCCTCGAAGGTCAGGTCCCCAGGACCCTGAAGACCCCAACCAGGTGGTCAGCAGAGCAAAATGACTCCTAGGGGCCTGTATTCCTGTCCCAAGCTGCTAGTGGGCACCGGGCCAGGGACACCCCCAGGAGAGGAACAGAGACAAACTCCTGGGATGGCTCGCACACTCAGACCCACAGGCAGATCCGGGACCCAGGCTGCAGCACTTGGATGTCCATCAGGGTTAGGTGACCCACAGGTGGGGAGAAGGAAGGGGGAGCCTGGGAAGCTGCTTTCTGTCCCTAGGAGCTGGGATTTGGCAGTTCTGCCAGAGTGAGCTGTCTTGCCAATTCTGTGGGCAGGGAGGGGTTGCCGGAAGGCGTTTGGGGTACTCAGAGTGAGTGCTGCCCCCTGGTGGGCATTGGCCATGAAGACAGTCACTGAGGAAGCCAGCCATCCAGAGGGCTCCAGGGCCTCCGAACACCCTCCAGCCCATCTGCCTCCCAAGATACCCCTGGCTTGGTATTAGGGTCAGCTACCCTCGGTGCCCCCATGGGAGTAGGGAAAGAAGGCTTGGGGTAGGGCGCAGGGAAGCCTGATAGGAGAGCTCCCAGCCTGGACGGGCGTCAGTGCTGCCCCAAGCATCCGCCACAGGGCTGGGGAGCAAGGGAGGGTTGCAGAGGCCCGGCAGAGCTGGTAGCTGCACAGAAAGGCGGGCAGCTGCTGCATGCTTTAGGCGGGAGGCAGGATGAGGGGTGTGTGCGGATGGGGACGCTGAAGAGCACGGGCCCGCGGGATGGCCTCACGCCAGAATGCAGGGTGGGAGGCCCAGGTTGGGACTCTGTCTCCTGGTATCTCTGCCAACAGGTCCAGAATTGAGGAAGGGACCTACCGTCAGTCCCTGCCTGGCCTCAGCTGCTGGGGGTCCCACATGCTCCTTTGCACATCCAGGAAACCAATGCCGGGTCTTCACTCCAGCAGCCCCCCTCCCCAGGGTGCCCCACCCCAACCCCGCTGAGCTGTCAGACTGCACGGAGACTCAGGGTCTCAGGTGTGGGCAGGACTGACAAGTGGGAGCCTTCCCTCAGGGCAGGCTGGGGTCTGCAGTGCCAGCTCGGGCTCCTGGGCAGGTCGGTGGAGCCACCCACGGAGTTGCTGGGGGTGGGGGGGCCTGCTCACGCTCAGGTCCCTGGGGGTCGCCTTTCCCCCCAGGCCCACTGAGGGGCGCCAGGTGTCCACAAAGGGCTGCCTTCGGGAACCCCTGGGAAGTGCGAGCGGAGAGGCCCGAGGACATCAGGGCGGCCGGTATTCACCTTGGTCTGCGTTCGGGCTGCGCTCCGGCTCGGCCGGCCGGGTCGCCCGCTCAGGCTGGCCGCAGAGCCGCTCCAGGCTGCGGACGCCGGGCGGCAGGGCCTTGCGCTCCAGCACGGTGCGTGGCTCGTCGGCCGGAGCGA